AACCCATTCTATTCCATCACTTTTCCTCATAATTTTTTATTTAACTTTATATTCTTTCCTGAACATCGACCAAGATTGCCCTCCTTTTTTTTTGAACAGCTGCAAGATCGTCCATTTCATGGCTGCGAAGTGGCAACCCCGACACTCACTCCAAATCCCCATTTAATTTTCCTCCATGGCCCTCATCCACACCCGGCATGTTACCTATGATTTTTCTGTCATCTGTGTTCCACCCCCACAGCCACTCCCCCACCAGAATGTCAGCTCCACAAAGAAAGGGACTTCTTTGGTTTGTTCATTGCCCATCACATAGTAGGTCATAGTAGGTCATCAATAAATATATGCTGGATAAAGGAACACACTGTATGTGGCACCTGTGCTGGGCCCAGATACTGGCCTGCACTCCAGGCATTTACACCACGCACTGGGCTGCTCCATCCACTAAAAAAGAGTAATACATGATACTGCACAAGAGAGGAAGTCTTTGCTAATTCTGACCCTGGGCACTGGGGCAGGTGAAGAGGAGGGCATCCTAGGCAGTGGGAACAAAGAAAGAAAAGGGCCCGAGGCATGAGAATAATGAGTGATTGCACACTGGGGAAACTTGGGGAACAGTGGCATAGAAAGAGGAAAAGGGTTGGGGACAGGTGCCACCAGCTGGTAGAGTCCCTTCTGGGTTTCGAAGTCCCCTGGAGCTTCCTCATGCTGCCACTAGAGGGCAGCCTGGGCACACCGTGGGTTGCTCTCCAGGGACCCTGCACCTGGGCAGAACCAGAGCAGCCTGGGGCCACACCTGCCTGCGCAGACCCTGAAGCTGTGTCAGAGTGAGCCGGAAAAGTCTCCGATGCTGCAGGCCTGTGATTCAGACCCCATCTAGCCCTGTTTTCTCCTCTCCTCTCTCTGGGGAACCCATCCCACCCCATCCCCATATCCATAGGGGATATTCTTTCAGGGGAACTGGGACCAGTATCAGGCCTGGCAAGTCTGATTCCTGGCCACAGAAAAACCTCCCTCTTCACTCTTCTTGCAGGCCCACTCCCACAAATCCTAGTTGCCCAGAAGCCTTGGGAGGTTTTAGTGAATGAATAAAGAAGCACACAACCTGGTGGCCTGTGGGAGGCAGAGCCACCGAGTGAGTGGTGGTGGCGCAGTTGGGCTTTGGAACCCGGCCAACTGCGTCTGAACCCTGGTCTGCCAATAGACAGCTGGGAGGCCTCTCTGAGCCTCAGTTTCCTCATCCATGGCAGGGCCGAGGGGGTTGTTTTGAGAAGATCCTGTGTGCAGAGTACTTGGTCCAGGATCAAGACCCAAAGGAAGCCCAAGAAAGCTGGTGAGGACACAGGTGGCAGGAGTCTAGGGCAGGGGTAGATGGTCCTGGGTCCAGCCTGCCTCCTCCAAGGGCACTGAGAACCAGAAGACTTTGATTAAAGGCAAGGGGAGGCCATGCAGGTCTAGTGAGATGGGTAGATGGGAAGGAATAGATGCCTGGTCATGGCCTGCACTGGGCCTCTCCCCGACTGACCAGATGACCTGGAGGCTCAAAGCCTGTCCAGGCCAGTCCAGTAGGGAACAGGGGGATGGGAAGTTCAGCTGGCCAGAGGGCAGAGAAGCCTACAATAGTCAAAGGTGCAGCAGTCAGGGAATCTAGAGGGTTCTAGAGAGAGGGTCTGACTGAGCCTGACCTGGCACTCTCCACTTCCGCCCAGGGCCCTCTGGTCAGGGCAGGTCTCAGCACCTCGCCAGTCTTCCCCCAACAGAGAAGAGGCTTTCAGACATTTCTCATCATTTCCTGCTCTCACTCTCCACATGCTGGATGGCACAAAAGCAGCATGAAGATAACCAAACAGCTTAGTCTTTCCCACAATCCACTTGCCATGGGAACCCCCATCCTGCTGGAACACCCCGGGACTAGTTCATTCATCACCCTCTACCTCAGCCACTGTGCATTTTCAAAACATAAGGTTAACTGATCAATTTCAGAGTTATTATATGAAATCTGTGCCCACAAGAACACACCATGAAAGACAATATAAAAAGCTCAGATTCCATCTTTTGGTCACACCCCCTCTCTCTGTCTCAGCCCAGGGTGGTTGGATTTAGAGGCCGGGTGGGGGCATATAGAAGGTCAGGGGTTCTACCTAAGATAGAACATGCTGGGTCAACTTCAGGCTTGTAAGACCAAGCATATTGCCAGGTAGCGCTGACTCTAGGAACCCGGGCACGGAGGGTTCCTGGGACCATGGTGCCACCACTGGCACCCCAGCCGGCTCCACGGGTCTAGCCAGCTTCGGGCTCAGCCCCATCTGTCCCTGTCCCAGATGGTGTTTGGGGTCTGTTCTGAGCTGGAATGCCC